CAGTCCCTTAGTTTAACTAATTCCCTCTTTGTCCTCAGGAAATTCAGTTTTATGCTACAGAAGTATGTTTTTTTAATATCCAAAATGAGGCAGGAAATGGTGTGTTACTAGGAAAAAGTGCCCCAAATATACTCTTCCCATTGCAAATGCATATAGAACAAAACAAAGTTAGTTGATATTCACACTATAAATGTCTGTGCTACTGTCATACAGTGCAGTATGTGAACAAATAATAAAAGATGATCTGTCAACAAGCTGCTCCCTTAAGTTGGTAATTATTTTGAATGACATCGTATCACATCTAAAATAAATTTAAACAGTATCAGCAAAGTACAGATACAACAATATCACACAGCTAAGATTAACAGCATTCTAGTCAATACTTTTTGTAATATTTAGTTATTGTTTGGAAGAAAACCATTACCACCCAACAGTTTTCACATTAAATGTAGACAAATAGTTTAAATTAAACATATGATATTTCATCATTTTACACAGGAAGTCATATATTTAGGCATTTAATTTCTTGAATTACAGGACACAATGAAAGTAAAGATATTCCTATATTTTCAAGTTCTCATTTGATTGGTAAGGGACAGTGGAGGCCCATCTGTTTTGCAGCACAGAAAGCCCCAAACCATCTGTGTAGAACCACATGCCAGCTAAAACACAGAGATATGCACAGTTTTTTGTTATGAAAAATTTTGCAGTATTTTTTTCCTGTATTAGTGTGAATAAATTAGCGACAACTAAATTAAAGAAATCTTCTGAGAACATATTAACTTTCTAGTGCATACTGGAAAATGTATCCATTTAGAAGTCATGAAACATTCATTGGCAAGATGTGTTCTTCTGACTTTCTTCTTTTTTTATTATTAAGACAGAGAAACCTTTATTTTTTTTTAATATAAATATTTAGCATTGTAATGAAAGTTAATGTACCTAAATTTTATCATTTATCTGCACTGTCTTTCAAGAAAAAAAAAAGAAATCCCCATATAATTACAATCATGCTTATATATATAGGCCTAATAATAGCAATTAAAAACTTGGGTTCGTATGTTTCTCTTCTTTGTGAAAATAGAAAAACAACAACAACAAGAAATGAGATAGAAATGGTAAAATTATCCATAAGCAACTACAGCTCTGGCTCACCTGCAGGTTTGCATCACATTTAGATGAGTGAAAAATGAAATCTGAATGTAGAGATTAGTCTCTCAAATATATTCATAAAGACTGTTGTGCAGAGATCTGTCCCTCACTCGCCCTTACACAGGCACAGAGTTCTGTGTCATGTAGAGGTAACTCTGTGAGCTTTGTTGACAGTTCATTAATGTTCAATATTTTCTTGAGATTGGAGCAATCTTAGCCAAGTGGCCTACAGTAGTCCTAAGGATGTGATGTAAAGAGAAAAGTTTTATTTTAAGTTAACAAGGCCATTGGTTTTGTTGTTTGTTTTTTTTTTTAAATTTTTAGTGACAAGCCAAATGATATCAGAAGCTTCTAGCAAAGCTTCTAGATTTCATTAAAGCATTAAAACTTTCACCTGAATAGTGAGCACTTCCATGTATGCAATAGGAGCATCCTATGAAAATGGCATGATGGTTAATATTTTTCATCTTCCTAGAAATCTTGTGTGATAATTTTTTTAAATCTGTTTTTACCCTGGGCTACTGAATACCCACTGTAGAAAAAAAAAACAACCCATAATATTCAGAAATCTGAATTTGGAAGACTTACAATAGAACTAAAATCTTGTCTCCATATATGTGGTTTGCATCAGCTCTAAGCAAGGAAAACAGCATTTCCAGTTCTAATATTTGTGATTAGAAGGCTACTGGATTACAATCCTAATTCCTTTTGGCAACCTTTTTTTCTCCATTTATGGAGTAATGGATGCTGACTGTATTTATTTTGTTTCAGAAAAACAATGTCTAAATTCTGAATCTGGAATGGCATGTTTTATTGCAGTAATTATTACATAACTGGTTAAATATTCATAATTAAAGTTACACTTAGTAATACTGCATCTCATAAAGAAGAGAAATTACTCTTAAAGTAGAAAACAAAAAAAAAGAATAGCAACGATTTTCTAATAAAGAACTCTGTGACATAGAACTTTTTTCTGATGTATCTGTAGGTACATCAGAAAATGATACGATGTCCAGATGACTTGGATGGTATTGTAGAGAATTTCCTCATCTATGAGAATCAGAAGGCTCCATCTTCTTATACTCTGTATTATACCCTTTTTTCTACTACAATTACATCACTACAAAAACTGTGGCTTCAGTTGACTTTGTGCCATGTGCAGCTCTTAACAAATCCACAGATTTGTGTTTCGTAGCTGCTATCTACTCTTAAGCTTTCTCAAAAAGGCAAGCTTTATGTACTAGTGGCCCAATGGTCAATTGCAGATCATTAAACTTTTGCCTGATAGCAACACATGATTTCTATTACAATTACTGGTGAGAGATGAAAGTTTGTATTACATCAGTATACAGAGTTGTATTTCAATACTGCATGCCCTCCTGCATATTTAAGAACTAGGTGTGTTACTAAATTTTTCTATTCCATTAATTTAGAAATCAAAAGCTCTATTGTAATTTTATTATACTTCAAGGTAAAGATTAGACTCAGTCATCTTTGTGGGTCCCTTCAAGCTTAACTACTCTATTCTATTTTTTCTACTAATAAAAGTAACAAACTTACTTTACTTACCAGACATTCAAAACTAGACTCAGCAATTAACAACAACAACAAAAAAAATATCCCGAAACCTTCAGTTCAATAGCATAGGTTACAGACTCAAATAATAACAAAATACTGATTGTGATTTAATTACTTTGTTTGTAGCAGTTGTTTTACACTTAGCTGTGAAAACTCATCCCAGGACTTAACAGTGTGAGTACTAAACAGCTCGATCCATTCATGTGTGCACATATGTCCTAATGCTGCAAACACTGTCAGATACTAAATGGACTTCCATGTTAGAAAGCAGTGTAGAACCTTTCAACATTATCTTAAGCTTCGAGTAGCCATTTTGTGTAAGTGAAAAGTAAAGGAAATATAAACAGAAATCGTGGCATCTTTGAACATACAGTTAGGGCAATGATAGGTCACCTGCCTCCTACATCCAATAGGATGAATTTGTGTAGATGGGTGAATAGACAGACACAAAGTGTGTAAATTTTGTGACTTTTGTTACTATACTCCAAGCAAATTGTCAATAGAGTAAAAGACTACCAAACGAACATCAATTTTTGTAGTTCTTCATAAAGAGAAATGGCACCAATTCTAATATGATAAACTAAACTGAATGCATTTAAAAATATGTATTTTTCAATCAATAGGTACAGTACTGTCATCTTGTCTAACACTTTTCATTATGCTATACAAGATAACTTTGTGATCCTGTAATTATTTTTACATTCATTATTTTAGAATGCACAGAATTTTCCCCTCTTGCTAAATAATGAATGACCTATTTTGAACTGTACAAGAGTTTTGAAAGGAGAAACTATTCACACATGAAGGAGTTGAAAAGCTGTGTTTTTCTGTTTGACTTAAAATCAGTTTATGATTCAGTTACAAGAAGGTTAATCAATCTGAACTGAAATGGAAAAGAATATACTTAGAAATACAAAAAAAGATTATTATTGTTTCAGAATAATACATTTAGATACATACAAAGTGATGAGACATTTTCAGTTTATTCAGTTTATCTCAGTCATGAAACCTCTAATTTTTTCGTAACATCTTTGGTCACATATAACTGAGAGACTGCTTTCAAATTAGACCCTATTTTGCAATATGGCAGCTCATGAGACAGTCTTACACAAAAAACATGAATTAAATAAGGAAGCAATGTAGCACTTGATATTATTGCTTTAAAAGCAAATTTATATAAATGATTTCAAAGCAAAAGTAATTAATAAGCTTGATATATAAAACAATAAGCCAAAAATATACAAAATATTTCTATTTTAGAAAGCAAACTTATTTCAAATTTCAGGTTCCATTAATATTAGCTCTCCTGTTTGAAGAAAATATAATTATTTTTCAAGTAAGAATATGCTGTCATGCTGCAAAAAATTCTTTTCAAAGTTGTTCTTTGAAAAAAAAAAGTCGAATGATATATTTACCTGTATTAGTCAAGACTGTACCCACATACCCACAGTATTTGCTTGTAAAAGTCTCCCAGTCATTCTAGTCTTAGGGAAATAGTGTCCAAATGTACCATATTTAGCATCTATCTCAAATCCTCCCGAGCTGTCAATTTAGGTGTTAAAGGGACCATTTGTAAAGCTTGGCTGGGAATTGCCATTATTGACTGGAATGTGTGTTTATCATTACATTCAATGATGAAAGTGGAACATGTAGCATATGAATAAATGTCAGCAGATGTTTCTTTTAAATGGCCTGATTTCAACCTCCTGTTGTTTGTCTTGAATACAAATATTAAAAAAGAGAAAAAGGCAGAATTTTTTATGACATAAGTACAAGGGTAGTTTTATTTATAAAAAAAAAAAAGATGAAAAATACTGAAGAACAAGGAAAGTATAATTAATAAGAATTATTTTGAAGCTCTCATGCTATTATCTGGTACATTATTAAAAATTTCAATGTGGGCTGTATCATTCCATAGTGACTCCATAGGAAATCAGGCAGACTTATGGCGTCTGATCCCAGGGAAGAATTGTTTGAAGTTCTATTTTTTTTAAAGATCTTTAAATTTTGTAGCATGTTAGAAAACTCCTCAGTAAAATTAAAATCCACACAGAAAAGTGGGTCACATGGAAAAGAAGTCTCTACAGACATTAATTTATACTCTTAAAAGGAACATTCCTTTTAAAACAGTCATAATTGGAACCCATGAAAGTAGTTACAAGTAGGACTCACCACCGAAAAATTAAAACTGGAATGTGTCTTCTTTAGAGAGCAGAAATGCAAATAAAGGATTTACATAGATCTCCCATTTTTCTTCTTTGAAAATGTATATATATAAAGGAACAATATAGTAAGATTAGTATGAAATACATTATACAGCTGTCTGCTACAAGAGTCATATTGTGCTGCCCTACTTCACACTGACTACCCTAAGAGTAAAATGATGCTCAGTGCGAGCAGTGGATCCAGATTCTGGAAGGAATTAGTATGCATCTCTGTAAACTCAGCAGCATTCCAAATAAATCAATAAAGTGAACAGAGACAAAATTAAATCAGCCTTGTGTTTATTGGCATGTGTTGCATTTTGTATCATCTAAATCACAATATGCCATCGAGGTGTTGAATATCTGAGGCTCTCTGCCTTCACAAAGAGATACAGGTGCAAAATGCCACTGTAAATCCAGTTTTTAATGCCTTTACCATGATTACAGTATGTATTTGGATGCTATCAGAAATCTAGTGATTAGAGAGAGGTTTTAGGAAAATCAAACTTACTTTGATGCAGGACATTGTTTCAATAAATTCCTATGAAAGTATTTAGTACTTTGAAGTATAAAATAGTAAGTAGCTGAGAAATTTCTACGAGACCATATCCAATGACTGTAATGGACTTGTGTTTTGTAGTAATATAATGCTGAGGAATATCGCCAATTCCTCTACTGCACAATATTATGCATTTACTAAGTTTCATGAATATGAAGTGTGAAATAAGACAGAAAGCCTAGAGTATCCCCCCTTGCTCTGTATTATTCTGTGCTGATCTTTTGTGTTGATTATGTAATTGGAACAAGTGGAAAAGTATTTTCCATATTACATAGGCAAGATAATGACTTTTACAGGTATGAATGTACAGATAGGTAACGCTTAACATATCAGTAATACGTATCTTTAGCAATGTATAGCCTATGATTCTTAATATCTTCAAAGAACAAGAATCAAGAAATTTACCAATTTGTCTGGTAACAGTAGTATTGGCTGGTTGCATTTTGGATCTGGTAATAGTAATACTGGCAGCTGCTTACTGGAACTAAGAGAAAATTATTTTACATTTATTCATTTTCCTTCTGATGATGACTTCCCCAAATCTCACTTCAAGGAAATTATTTCTTCACCTAAAACAAAGCAGTGGGAATGCCTAAAACAAAGGTGTGGGAAGAAGTGAGATTAGAGCGTACTTCCTTCCACCTGCAGTCCTTTCCCAGTATTCATGATGAGCTGAGAGATGAGCAAGTATCTGTAGGTAAATACAGAGTAATGGAAAAATACGGTAAAGGAATGCATGAGTAAATATAAAATACAATAACACATTTTAAATGAAAATATAAATACATTTGATAATATTCAAGACTAACCTCAAGTAATGAGTAAGAAAGTGGAGGAAGGATTCCAGTTTGATAATTTTGGTCTTCATTCTGGAATTTAATAATGATCTCATTAATATTATCTCAAAAATTGTATCCCAAGATTATCATGTTAGTTGTTTTTTCATTTTAGCATTTTCTCTTTAGATGCTTTCAGAATGTTTTCAGACATTTCTGTTCTCCGGCTTGGATTTATCAAAACATTAAGCTCATACTTAGCATTGTTTCTGCAGCATAAGTAGCATGTTTATAAGTATGTATAAATATTTTTCGGAGTACGGTTGATTATAAGCATGTGAAATGATTTGATGAATTTGAAACAAAAACTAAAAAAACAATGTAAATTGACAAAATAAGCTGTTTCTTTTGGAATATTCTCAGATCAGAGTATTTGAACATGAATGAAATGTGTTTATATCATGAATTTTCATGATATAAAAATATATGAATTAGGATATGTTCCCTATGGATAGAGAATATTTAATTCCATATGCAGTATTGAATGTAGTTTCCTTTCCTGTTTCAACTTCAGAAACCTATAGGTAGTGTTCACATACAATCAAAAAATAAGAAAGAAATAGAGAGACTCCATTTTCCTTATCTGTTTAGATCTTGGCACATATTCTCTTCAATTGTGCCTCACCCTTCAGATAAGCTTGAAACCAAACTTCAGCCTTTCAGCACTATGCACACTTCACACATTCCTTCACTTCAGCAGTTAACTCTTGCCTCCTTGAACCAAACCAAAATACATACACAAAAGTCCTTCCATGTTCTCACTTCTAAAGATGCACTCTAGGTCAAGGTTACTTCAGAATGACTTAAATTTCTCTTCAGTTTTCCTTTTTCATAAATTATTTCCCTCCCTCTTTTGCCAGAGAGGCTTTGGAAATATTTGTGTGCATTTTGCACAATTCCCCTTTAATATTTTAGACTGCTAAATAAAATTCTGAAGAAATCATTTTTTCTTTTTCCTTTTCATTGAGTACTGGAAGTGACAAGGACTGTCTTGTGGAGTTGTGGAATCTGTGAGAGCAATAGTCTGATCTGAGAATACACCAAATAAAGCATCATCTTTACTGGAGACTTCCTCGCGTTGCCCTGACTAAGTACACTAGATTTTGCATCTAAGCAGTCTTAGATACAAAACAGCAAAGATTTTGGATGATGGGTTGAATATTAATTAAACAGCTTGTTATTGGGCACAAGTCTAGGAAATCTCCTTCCTCTGTTTCACCGTCTGTGCCCTCTTGAAAGGCCACTAGTGGTAGAATATTTAGTTCTATTAAATTTGCTGAGTATTCCAGTTCTTCTCTCTCTACATAATGCTTAGCATCCTGATTCATAGTCCAACAAAAAGTATTTTATATGCATTATTGTGTAAACCGCACAATGCATACAATTTATCGATGAAAAACTAGAGATTTATTGTTACAATCTTTCAGTCTTTGTCCAAATCTTAGAATCTTAGACTCATAGAAAAGATATTCAAGATCATCAAGTCCAATTGCAACCTAAGCATATTACCCTAACAACCCTCCACTAAATCATGTCCCTGAGCACCACATCCAAATGGTTTTTAAGCACATTCAGGGATGGTGACTCAACCACTTTCCCGGGGAGCCTACTCCAGTGTTTAACTACCTGTTCAGTAAAGAAGTTTTTCCTGATATCCAAAACTTATCCTAGTGCAACTTAAGGCCATTTCCCCTCATCCTGTCACCTGTCACCAATGAGAAAAGACTAACTCTGCTCTCGCTGTAAGCACCTTTCAGATATTGGAAGAGAGCAATAAGGACTCCCCTCAGCCTCCTTTTCCCCAGACTAAACAGCCCCAGTTTATTCAGTTGCTTCTCGCAGGGTATATTCTCCAAGCCTTGTGAAGCCTTCTTCACAAGGCTTGTTGCCCTTCTTTGGACTTGCTCCTACCCCTCAATGTCCTTTCTAAATTGAGCTGCCTAAACACAGTATTCAAGGTGAGGTCTCCCCTGTGCCAAGTACAGGGACAGGATTACTTCTCTGTCCTACTCCTGTTTGTATCCTCTTGTACCTTGTGAACACTTTTCACAAGAAGTGACTTTTACTATTCTGAGTATATACAATTGTATTTATAAAAAAACACATACACACACACACACTCAAAAAAAAGAAAGAAAGAAAACCTAGCCAATGTTTGATACGCATATGTATATACTACTTTCATAATATTCAAGATATATATTGTTCTTCTTGATCTTGGCTTCTGTTTAAAACTGTGGTAGTTTAAAATAGTTACAGTAGAGCTAATGCAAAAAGGCAAAAGTAAAAAACAAGGGCATCCACTCCTTTTTTTCCCCACATATATCAGCTTGTTGCTTGTAAGTTGCAAACATCACTTGCGTCTTTAAAGCCTATGATTCTTCTGCAGAGCCTTTCAAACTGTTATAAACTAGCTGAAATTTGCAGGACTAAGCAAAATTCACCTATATTCCTACTAAATTTCTATTTTTTATGGCTGAGCCAGAATTTAGAACTACCTGAAAATACCTCCTGAAATTCAGGTGACAGTTGCAGAGAGAAGGATTTTCTGATATTAAGAAAAAGAGCTGAGATTCTGGGTCTAAGATATGCCTCTTTTCTCAAGTGGCAAGGGATAGAATCCAAAGATTGGATATCAAGAAGATTTTCTTCACAGAGGTCATAACAGATTGTTATGTTTGCCCAAGGAGGTGCTGGAGTCCCCATCCCTGAAGGTATTTTAGAGATGTGTGAATGTGATGCTTAGGGACATGGTTTAGGAGTGGACTAGTGGTGTTAGATGACTGGTTGGACTTTATGGTCTTGGAGGTCTTTTCCAACCTGGTTGATTCTATGATTTGAGACATCTACCATGCTAGAGTATTCTAACATGGTGGAGCTCCTGTTGAGAACCCATTTCCTAACTAAAAGTTAGGAAAGCAGCTCTGTGATCTATGGGTAGGAAGAACATAAAACAGATTTACATTTTAATCTTGGAAACATGCACAGTGTTATAATAAGCAAACAATCTAATTCTTACATATGTTAAGTAAATAATGTGGACCAGACGAAAGGAGGTCTAGAAAAAACTTAATCAGGGATATGACAGTTCAGCCTCTCTGTAAGAGACAGTACTGAAGTACATTATCCCTTATTTTTTGTGCACATGGCCTGATGAAAGTAGTTTTATGTGAATCAGTACGCTTCTGTTTCAAAATAAAATTAATATTTTCATTTGTTATAAGCCACATATTTGTCAGTCTTGTTTTGAAATGCATAGATATGTCACTCATGCACCCTCTCAAAGTAAAAATGCCATTACATTACAGTGTTTCTATGCAGGAAATCCATAATCTAACTTTGCAGGAATTTTTATGCTCTTATGGAATTACTATCATTTTCTTGATACATTTGACTTCAAATTGTAACTTTTCTTCAGTGTGCTTTAAACTTCTCCTCATATACATTTGAGTGTTTTCATCTATCTTCCCTGATACCTGACTTGTAAGGTTATTTTATCCTGTTACCCTTATTTTTCTTCTTTGCATATGCATATGCTACTCCCCTCAACACAGAATAACTGTACTGAATGAAGAATAGACACCTTAATCCTGCTTGGAAAGATTTCCCCTTTAAACTTAAGTCCTGACCAGGCATGTGAAGTGTTTGGTGACCTTTTGAACCAGGCCAATCAGTCCATTGTAGTCTAAAGTAAGACTTCCTTTTCTTGGCAGGCAGCAAGGCAGAGTTTGTTCATGAGATCTTTGAAGTACATCTGAAGTCCTGAGCAAAATAACTGCTAAAGCATAATATGTTTAAAAATTATGTTCCGTAAAAGGCTTAATGAGTAAGACTCCAAACATGGATGTGTATTTCCATTAGATTTGATTCTCCATGTTAAATTCAGAAGTAAAATGTTGATAACTTTATAGGTCTATTTTGAATAGGATCAGTGTAAGAGTCAATGTCATTCTTGTGTCAATATGTAAAACACAAACAAAATTTAACTCCTCAAAAGGTCTTAGTAGGAAGAGATTTGGGTTGCTTAAGAATTGTTAATGTTAATAAGCCCATTGCTTTCAATGCCTTTCATTAATACAACAGAGGTCTTAATATCCTGGGAGACAAAAAGGAATAATTATCTGTGAGATCTGTTTCATACTAACTAATATAACTGTTCCTCTGCTTTTTTTTTTGGAAGAAGGTAGGAAAACGGAATTAAATATTTTAACTTTCACTGGGAATGTTGTCTATATTGTAAAAATGATTTCAAATAGTCACCACCTTCAAAAAAGAAATGATCTGGGAAAGAAATGCAAAATACTAATTTATATGAACAAATTGCTAGAAAGAGTCTAATAGTTTTCATTATCTCTTCATGCACTTTTAAGTTCTGGTGCTCAGAATGTTTTTTGTGAAACAAAAAAGCAAGAGCACAGAATCAGTTATTTGCAATATTTTTAGAAAATCGTCATAACTTACTACCTTGCTTAAAAACATTCAGTGCAACAAAACACAAATATGATTAACAAAACTAAAATGGTGAAGCTTAAAAAAATAGCTTTGTACCAATTCAATATAACTACAGTTGGTGTACAAGAATGTATTTTAAGGATATATGATCTTGTCTAAATGGGCAGTTCGCAATATAAGGATGGGACAAAACAGTTGTGGGTTTTCTGTCTCTGATTCACAGCTCTTATTCAATTCTCCTTTTCTTCTCTCCTAGATCTCCTTCTCTCTGATGATGAATTTACAGTCTAAAGCTCTCCTACTTCCTGTTGAATGTCATTCTACAGATAGTTCTTGCTATTTGATCATTTGATTTATTTCCTTTGCCTAAAAAGGATTTCTATCAGTAGCTCAAGTTATACTGCAAAAGGGAGGAACTATACATAGAAAAGAAAGACTAAAAACATGCCAAGACAGTACAGAGCCTGTGTTAGTTCTCTGTGTTAGTTGTAAATACTTAGGATCCAATGTGGTGTGTGCAACCTAATGAAAAATAAAGGAGTTCTTTCTGTGTAGGTGCCCAGATGCTGCTCTGGGCTTGTAGTGAATGATATTGCATAACATTATTCAAAATCAAAACTATTGATTTTTGTGATATAGCAATGTGTGACTTCGTGTTTCACACCAGATAGTCTGAAGATGGTGTTCTTCTGTCATCCTACATGAAACTTTTAAAACTGAGCATACCTGCTAAACTACTTGATTACTCAGGTCTGTTCATCTCTGGGATAATGCACAATGGCATTATGGCAAAGATTATTTTAACCTCTTATTTCTATGAACTAACATGAGAAGCCTATCATGTTATACCAGATGTATGGAATATTCGGTCATGTTTTTTGATGGACAGGAGGACCAAAGAAGGGGAAATGGAAATGGAGTTAAACAGCCATTCCATATAGAATACAATTATCTGATTTTCTGTAAATCAGTATTTTCCTATAAACTTTTCATGTTTGTGGCTATAAAGATATGTTTTTCATACAATAACACATTTTATAATAATAATGAGATCCTCAGATCATTTTCCTCCCTATTATTGGATAGCACTTCCAGCACTTTACAAGCACAGTTGGCTACCCAAGGTCCCTGATGCCAAGTTGTGGAGGATATTCTGGTAGCAGTGACAAATAGCTTGCTGGTGGGTTGTGCAGAATGTTGTTCTGGCAGCAATGAAATTGTCTATGTGTCTGTCACTTGGTTAAGCTATTTCTCCGCCTTTGGAGAACTTAGCTTTAAACTTACATGTTTCTGATGAATTAGTAGGTTTGACAGCAAGGTTCTTAGCAGACCCCTCACAAGTGTTACATGTGAGTACCTATACGATGAAAGAGAAAAAAAATCTTCACAGTGCCATACTTGTTTTCCATACAAACCTACATGCTGCCATTACAGCCACCCACATACCGTTTGACAAGTCACTTATGCATCAGGCATCTTAATGAATCAGGACTAAACAACACAGTGTCCCTGTGTAAAGCCACATATTTTCAATGTTATTCTGACTTTATGTCTTTCCGTTGAAAAATTTGGTTCAGCTGTGTGATGTGTAAACAAGAATTCTGGGACAAGCTCTGTTTTTATTCTTTCTCATATTGACAGCATTTTGTCCTATTGATTACATTTTAAAAACGTGATTAGTAAAATCTGATTATTGTAGAAGAACACAGCAAATCTTACTGGATAAATTAGCTTGTAGGCATATGCAGGCAATTTATACAGTGCCTTTTGATGTCCTAATAAGTATATACTACACAATTTATGAGTAAAATAAGAAGCTGTCACTGCTAGGTTAAAAAATAAATACTCTTCCTATTGGTACTTCTGAGTTTATAATTAATGGTGCATATGAAATTTAATTTTATATATATATATATATATATGATTTATAGTATTTTGAAACAGGAAACAAAAGCAACAATATTTGTATAAAAATGCAAGAATAATTTAAAATTCTTTTGAACAATAGCAGGTCTACTATATAGAAACTCTAATGAATGAAATAAATCTAGATGAAGTAAAAGGAAGTAAATGCTATTTTCATGCAAGTCAATATACAATGGCAATGTTTTAAAAGGGCCTAGCACACTCTTAATCTTATAAAGGAAATAAATGTTTATTTTTCTTTTTTCTGTGTATATAGATGTATTTGCTGATTTGAGTATTCATATTGGCAGAGTGAGTTAAATGGACTCTGAAACAATATTGCATTATTTTAGTGCATTAAGTCACTGTATTGGTCTTGCATTTACAAAAATCTTTCTAATACATTTTTCCAAACTCTCTAAATGAAAAAAAAATTCTACTGCTGTTAACTAGAAAAATAATTTCCAAAATCTACATGTAAGAACTTAGAATAAATGCTGAAAAGTATTTTAACATCTTAAATTAATGGTTGAGAGAGGAAATTTCAGCTAAAAGTGATGTTTGAGCTAGTTTGTTTTCATTATGACTGGTGCTAGTACTTAAGTCAGCCTTCTAGACTACATGGGTATTACTAAACTAAACTCATCAAATTTACAACTATATCTTTGCCAGAAACATTTTTGAAAGGAGCCGACAACAGAGATTTTCTAGCTTTCATCACTTAGAAGCACTGAGTGAGGCTATTGATCCTAAAATTGCTGGGATTTTCTAAGTAGACTGCTTGTTTGTTCTGTGCTGTTGTCACTGAAGTGGTTAAAGCTTTGTTTGTTTGTTTTGGTTCTGAATGGCTCTTAATGGATTAAGCTTTCCAGCTTTCACCAAAGCTGAAACTGTTTATTAAAGTATCAAGATATAAACTAACCTCTAAGAATTTTAACTAACTATATAAAGCCATACTGTCCTAATGACCTATCCATGTGGATTCTTTAGAGGGCTTTGATGTGTTTGTTTTTGCAACTCTTACCATGCCGAATTACTTTAGTTATTTTGGGGAAAATGTTTATCTGAGACTGGACATTGTAATGAAATGCTTTTCCTCACAGATTCTATGTGGATTCTGTAACTGCATTATCAAATCATCATCATGTGTACTGTAATGAAATATTTTTAGTGTTTTATATGTGCTAAATGTTTTGGTATTTATGTTATTTATTCTACAAGTGACCAAAATAAGACTTTGATGGTAATTGACCCAACATACAAGTCCTTTCTTTCTAAACAGTCAAAACCAAAAAGCCTCAGTAAACACAGACAGGGACACTTCAGAGCTAAGTAGAAAGTAAGGAAAAATGAAAATTTGCTTATGCTTTTCTTTCTAGTTGGAAACAGCTGGCCCCAGAAGATATCCCCAGCAGTATTCTGTGCAAATGGGCTGCCATTAGGCTTCTTCACTTCTTCACTATTGACTATTGTACAGTACATGTTATGTGGAGTCTGAAAAGAGACCAAAATAAAGGTGTATAATGAGGAATCAATACATCTCTTATTAAACACTTGTATAGCTATTCAGTTCCTGCTAGTGGTAGTTTTATACAAGACAACATCCAGATATGCAGCACTTTAAAATGTCAGCACAAGGTGGATTTGCAAAGATTGTGCCCAGGTAAGAATATGTTTATATGGGAAAAGTTGTTGGATATACACTATTCAATGAGATTATCATTATTTTTAATAGTATTTCACCACACTTGATAGATATTTCCAATATCTTCTGTGAATACTTTCGCATTTGCACAACTTTTAATATGTGTACCTTTATATTCATATCCACATCACTGAATGAATGTATCCAACTTCTTTTTCTCTTCTTTATTTAGTTGTTCCTTGACAACTGGAGCTTTAGAGTTCTATCAATAAATAGTTTATACATATATTTGGAAGAACTACGGTTTTTTATATATGCACATTGCACAAAAACCTTGGAATTGTCAAGAATCACTCAAATGTCTCATTATTATCAACTGTCAATTGAGTTCAAAAAGAAAAACGTGGAAGACTGGCATAGGCAAAAGTTCTTTTGAATGAGACTATATTTGAAGACTTACTGATTTCATTGTAGGCAAATGATGTTATGACGCCTCTTATTTTAATATTCATTGTAGTATGGTCATAGCTGAAATACTGTAATATTTCAGATCGTAATGTTAAGAGATGCTGGTTGAGTAGAGTAGTAGAGTGATGTTGTATAATTACTTATTTTTTTGCTTGTATAGTAATTCAGGAAGAAAAAAATAATTATTCCTGAACATTTTAACAGAGGCAACATCATAAAACCTCTCATTCCAAACTTGTTAAAAACTTTTGAAACATTAAAGGCAGTTTTTCTTCATTTTATTTTTTATTTGTTTTATAAGAAATATTAACAGCATTAGGATCTGCCATCATTTCTGTGTGCAACTACTGTCAAAAGACCATTTATTACAGATAAATCATTACAAACCCTCTAGAGGGAAAGTCTGAAACAGAACAAGATGTAATCCATATGATCTATTGTACAGAAAATACACAATCTGAAATCTCTGAGTCAGGAAACTTGAGGAAAAAAACAGGCTTAGAACCTGGGAGCTCTTACAAACTCATATTCTAAGTGAACCATCAGATGATGCATGTTACACTGAATGAGTTGCATATCCGTAAGTGACACAAGGAATAGGAGAAAATAATAATGAATAGAAACCTAAAGTTTTGCAGATGTTATTATCAAAACAAGTGATTTGCCGTGTGAAAAAGAACTTGAGTACAGTTATAGGACTGTGCCACTAGAGAATCATATTTTATGATTTCATTTTCTTCCTATCACACAAACTTACTGTTTTTAAGAACCTTTAATACTAAGAAAAATGTGCAACAACCTTTCTAAAAATAGTCCTATAATTTTTTTTTACATCATTCTAATCTATTATCAGAGAATATATATATCTATATATCAGAGAATATATCAGAGAATAAGCAGTTTTATTAATTTTATTCCATTAATCTCCAGGAAGATGTAGAAAATACTGTGTTAATGTTATCAGAGATGGTGAGAATTTTTGAAGCAGCTATGTATATTTATTATTTTTTTTTATTTTTTATTTTTTTGGCTACAGCATTAGTTACAAGCTTTTGTTCGGCTTATGTTCAAAGTACTCTTGGAGAGTAAATGTTGTAAAATGAAAGAATGAGAAAGGGAATAGAAGTATGGTCTGTAGTACAAGCAAAATGTTAAAAATATACATTTATCTTTCTCTTGTTTCACAGTATCACAGAATAACATAATGTTTGAGGTTGGAAAGGACCTCTGGAGACCTTAAACTCCACCAGCCTTTTATTTGAACTTTTTTTTTTTTTTTTTTTTTATTTGATACTGTCTTCTGAACTTTTTCACTGTATTTGTGCAGGTGATATTGCAAGCACTGTCCTTACACAGTTCTGATCTTGTGCTTTTCTGATCTACATTACTGCTTGATCTGCAATTCTCTGCCACTTATTTAAACTTGCAAGACAGAAGTCCAAGGCTTTTGAAAACCAAGGAAAGAAGTTGATGTTTGAGGTATGCTGGGGAGTATAATCCTGGTTTTCTCTTCTAATTATTCTAATTAGAAAATGTTGCATTATATATTGAACGTGAAGTGTTCCCTGTTCCCTTAATCTAACGTTCATATTTTGGGGGGAAAAAAAGACGAAAATAAGCCTTTCTTGAAAGACTTACGTAGAGTGGAATATGTACTAAAGTGGATTTCTATTTGGCAGATAAGCAGAGAATCTCTTCTTCAAGGCTTTGTAACGCATAAATGACATTCAGTCAGATATTTGTGTTCCCACGCTGATTGATGTTCCCATTAGCTATATTCATGTTACATCTTCCATATTGCTTAGAAAATATCCCTTATACACTGCTAGGCTTCTTTGTTCTGTTTAATTTTTCTGCCTAGCATATTGCAATTGGTAGAGTTTTCTTAAGATCATGAAAGTAGTAGAAACAACTGCTTAGTTTTCTGTCCTTGTTTAGGACATGCAAAGATAGAAATATTTCCCTAGCAAATAAGAGGTGTAGCAATCTTGGTTATATAGTATTCAATTTACTGAGACAAATTTCCTGTTTTTCTTATTAAGGACATGGAAAATTCCTAAAGAATAACTGTTTTGTTTTCTTAGATGTAGGATTTTGTTTTGTTTTGTTTTGTTTCTGATAGGATGTTTTTCCTGTGCTCATCAGACTTAGTTAGGACATGGGAGAGAGCATAGGAGAGAGAAACAGACACAATATGGTGTAGTTTGAACCAGCAGGTAGCTAACAAGCACTGCACAGTTGTTTGCTCACTCCTCCACCTCCCAGTGGGATGGGGGAAAGGACCAGAAAAAAAAAGTAGAAAAAAGCACAAGTAGTGGGCTGAGATAAAAACTATTTACTAAGACAGAAAAGGAAGAGGAAAAAAAGGATAACAGATATTATATACATATATATGGTATGTATATATATGTAATATATATACACACACACTCACAAAAAAAAAAAAAAAAAAAAAAAAACAACAACAA